AACAAATGGTGTTGGGAAAACTGGACAGCAACATGGAGAAGAATGAAACTAAACTACTTTCTTGCACCATACACAAAACTAAATTCAAAATGGATTCAAGACCCAAATGTAAGACCCATTAAAAATCCTAGAGGAGAATACAGGCAGTAACCTCTTTGACATCAGCTGTAGCAACTTCTTACTAGATATGTCTCTTGAGACAAGTGAAATAAAAGCAAAAATAAACCATTAGGACTTTATCAAAATGAAAAGCTTCTGTACAACTAAAGAATTTATCAACAAAACTAAAAGGCAACCTATAGAAGGGAAGAAGATATTTGCAAATGACATATTAGGTTAAGGATTAGTATCCAAAATATATAAAGACCTTCTCAAACTCCCCCCCCAAAAACCCAAATAATCCAATTAAAAAATGGGCAGAAGACATGAAAAGACATTTTTCCAAAGAAGACATCCAGATGGCCAACAGGCACATGTAAAGATGCTCAACATCACTCATCATCAGGGAAATACAAATCAAAACCACAAGGAGATACCACCTCACACCTGTCAGAATGGCTAACATTAACAACTCAGACAACAGACGTTGGCGAGGATGCGGAGAAAGAGGATCTCTTTTGCACTGCTGGTGGGAATGCAAACTGGTGCAGCCACTGTAGAAAACAGTATGGAAGTTCCTCAAAAAGTTAAAAATAGAACTACCCTATGATCCCGCAACTGCGCTACTAGGTATTTACCCAAAGAAAAATACTAATTCAAAAGGATACTTGCATCCAGATGCTCATAGCAGCATTATCTATAATAGCCAAATTGTGGAAACAGCCCAAATGTCTATGGCTGATGAATGGATAAAGAAGATGTGAGATACACACACACACACACACACACACACACACACACACACACACACAATGGAATATTACTCAGCCATAAAACAGGATGAAATCTTGTCATTTTCAACAACATGGATGGAGCTACAGAGTATTATGCCAAGTGAAGTAAGTCAGTGAAAGACAAATACCAGATCATTTTACCCGTATGTGGAATTTAAGAAACAAAGCAAATGGTCATAGTGGGGGGGAGGGGAAGAGAGAAAGCAGGAAACAGACTCTTAACTATAGAGAACAAAGTGATGGTTACAGAAGGAAGGTGAGTAGAGGGATGGTTTAAACAGGTGATGGGGATTAAGGAGCACACTTGTGATAAACACCGGGTGTTGTGGAGTGTTGAATCACTAAACTGTACATCTGAAATTAATATTACACTGTATGTTAACTAGCTGGAATGTAAATAAAAACTTAAAACACAGGAATCATTTCTCACACTCATTAATATAGAACTCACTTTCACAAGTGTTTTGATGAAAACAAAAAAAGGTTTTTAAAAACATTTATAACTACAGTTTCACTGTAAAATGGGTCATGGTACTGCTTCCAATCAAAAGTTTCTCTTTTCACAACTCTTCTCCTTCCATCTCTGCACATTTCTATACAAGATAATATTTAAGTGTCTACTATGTACCTAACTATGAAGTAAATAAAGATACCATACCATTTGTCCTAAAAATGAGGCAACTAACTGTCCAAGGTTATAAGTCAGAAACTGGCCTAGTCAAGTTCTAAAAGTCATCAGTCATTCCAACTACAGAGTTCAGACAGTGACTGAGCCAACTATTTTAGAGCTGGTGGAAAAGGGGATAAAATGGATGCTACATTCAGTCTCTATCACCCCTGGCTTCTAATCGGCATATGGATATCACAAAAAACAATTTATATTGACTGTCTCCAATTCTTGTCCTTCTTTCTCTCCTAAACCCAAACTAACCAGGCTACTGATCTCACCACCACACCCAAACAGCTCCTGCTGATGTAGCCAATGGTCTCCACACTGTCATATTCAACAGTCAATTCTCCGAACTCACCTTATTTTAATCACATCAGCATTTCTCCCACTTGATCATTTTCTCCTCTTTAAAATACTCTCTTTACTTGACTTGAAAGAGACCATCTTTTTCTTGGTTTGCCTCCTCCTTCACTGGCTGGTCCTTCTCCATCTCCTTTGCTGGTTCTCCCACCTCTCCCTGACTCAAAGTTTGGAACTTTTTCCTGGTAACTCCAGACTTACATAACCAACTGTCTATATGCCAGGTCCACTTGAATGTTTAAAAGACACCTTAAATTTAGCATGACCCAAACCAAATTTCTGATGTTCCCCCAACCAGACCTGCTTCTATACCAGGCTTCTCCGTCTCAGTAGATAGCACCTGCAGTTAGACAAGTATTTTATTTAGTTACTGAGGCCAAAAGCTTTAGAATTATCCTCAACTTTTTCTTTCTCATATCCCACATTCAAACAATCAGTAAAATTCTGTCAGCACGTTGTTCAAATTAAATCCAGAATGTGACCAGATTCATTCCTACATTCCATACCACAAAGTATCCCACTAAGAAACGACATATATACAAACGATCCTCAACGTGACCATCATTCTGAAATTTAAGTCAAATCATGTACCTCTTCTGTTCAACTCTCCAACATGGATCCTCAACCTACTTATAAGTAATAGCCAAAGTCCATGACTCTGATCTCATCTCCTATTACCGTCCCCCTGGTTCACCCTGCTCCAGCCACGCTGGCTGCCTTGCTATTCCTCAAACATCATGCAGGCTCTTGCCTCAAGGTCTTAGCATTTAGGGCCTGCCTTTCTTGAATGTTCTTCCCCAACTTGTGAACACGACTCACTCCCTTCCTCCTTCAGAGGCCTTTTCTGACCTCCTGACATTTATATTTACTTGTTTGGCCGTTTACCATTAATTCCCCCCCCCCCCCACTAAAAAGTAAGTTTCATGAGGCTAGGCGGTTTTGTTTTATATACTAGACTAGTGCTTAAAATTCAGCGGGCACCAAATAAATCTCTGTTGAATAGACAACAAAACTGATGAGTGTATACAGCCAGGTTGCAACTCTGAGTAACCTGTCTACTTTGTCCTGGTCCCTCATGTCTGGCTAGTCACCAAAAGATTGATTGGCTCTGAAAATTACACATTCAGGACCGAAAAGAGGTTGCATTTGTCTCTACCAAACTTCTGCTCCCCTGAAAGTCTTCCAAGAAAGTTAAGCTTCAATGTAATGTAAGGAACTTCTTCCAATCAGTGTCTCTGCTTGGGTAGAATAAAATTTCTTCTGTCATTCTTTCCAATTCAACACAACTAGATAGAGAAACACAGATGAAAACAATTTTCAGGATCCTTCTTTTCAAATTCTACCTTCACATAGAAACTTCTTGATTATCTATGCTTCTTTATTTTCCCATCTTTGCCGATATAGTTAAGTGCTCTGGTTGTTCACACTGCCTAATTAACTCTGAAATTAAACTGCATGAAATTATAAATGAAAATTTTATGAGGGTTCACATGCAAGCTAGATTATATAATCTAAATTTTAAACTACTGCTACTAAATTTCTGTAGTCTTTTAAAGGGGCTTAATTTTCCTTGTGTAACTGGAAAGCATCTTCATAACTTTGGACAGGTTACATATAACAGGTTATATATAACCCTGTACAGAGTTTAACCAATCATGATAAATTGTAAAAAATATTCTTGATTTTTAAGGCATTCTTAAAAGTCTTCAGAGTTATATTTTCACTAATGATTTTTAAACATAATGTATGATCATTTACTCTGAAAATGAGGTATATTTTGTCTCCATAAGTAGGAACTGGCACCAAGTGAAGATAATGAATATAGACAGACATCACATAATTACTTGCATGTAAGAATCTGAAGTGTGAATGCTTACGCTTTATAACTCTTACACAAATGAAATCGTTAAAATCATGGTGGCATGGCAAAATTTTATATTCCATCATATTTCATTTAAACGTAAATTTCCATTTAGTGTTAAGTTCAACAGGTCATACAAATTTATGATAACCTATAGGAGGAAAATGTACGTTTCATACCTAGTCATGTGAAGTGTACCTTGATGACAATTATTGGCAAACCTTATTTTTTTTAACCCACATAACTATTCACAGCATTTTTTGAAGGGTTCAGTCAGATCGTGTGAAATCCTATCTTTCACCCCATAATCCTTAAATCAGTGAAATGTCATTTTATTTGACAGTAGGTTTCAGATAGAGATTGGATATACAAGCTCACTCACGACTCCCTAGGTAGGAGGTAAAGATCAACAAACGGACCTTACAAGTTAGTCTCAAGCTAAAAAAGAAAAGGAAGAGAAAAAGAAAGAAAACGATCCTGTGCTGCTGGTAGGGCTTCTCTTCCTGTAGCACCCAAAGTGCCTCCAATGCCCAGAAAACTTAATAGATCCCTCTAATCTAATTCCAGGACCAACACGGTGGAGGTTTCAAGATCCTCCAGGTTTCCAAATTGTGATACGCACCCCTATCCAACAGGCTAAAAAGTCCAAAGTACAGCGCAAGAAAAACTTCTGCCACACGGACGCCAACCAAAATGCATTCCTAATCTTCCCGGAAAGGAAGAAGCAAGGCAGCAGCTAAAATAAAAAGTGTAACCGGGTAGGTGAAAATTTAGGGGAGACATGGCTTTCTTTCCACATTCAGGGGCCAAGAAAGGAAAGGTGTCAAAGGTCTACTTATACCATTCTTCCTTCTTCCTCCAGCACAGCTGGGTGGAAGGATCCTCCGCAGAATGGCAGAGGAAAGAGAAGGTATCACCAGCCCAGGGGCACCGTCCAACCTGTCACTGAGACCGGATCAAGAGGAGCACGGCGAAGAGGCACTGGGGGAGGGGGACAAATCCTGCGGTCAGGGTTCCGAAGAGACCCCGGTGGGCCGAGCAGAGGAGGACAGCCAGAACCCAGGCTAACCAAGCCCTGGCCGCGGTGCCCGGCTCCCTCCGAGGAAAGCGGGTCAAAGCCCTCCCCACCCCCTCCCTTCCGCCCCGACCTGCACGTTTCTTTCCTCAAGCGGCCAAAGGAAGCGCAGCATTTGGGCCGGCCGGCGGCCCCGCTTACCTGCTCCACTCCGAGGAACTGGTAGAAGTTGAGCTGCACCTCCTCCACCAAGTCAAATAACTCCAGGTCTCCACTCTCCCAGCCGTGTGCCGGCCCTACAGCCGCCAGCAGCAGCAGCAGCAGCAACAGTAGTGGCGGCGGCGGCGGGAACCGCACAAGCCGACGCCAGCGGCGCCGAGGAAGCCGGGCCAGCCGGGAGCAGGTAGCCGTCATCGCGCTGGGCTTGGAAAGGTCACCCGCCTCAATGTGCCGTCGGCCGAGACCGGGGACGTGGCGGGCTCCACGGGCTGTGGGAACAGTGCCTGTCAGTCAGAAGCACGGGCAGCCGCACCGGAGAAGCCCGCCCGGCGGTCCGCCCCAGCGGCAGGGCAAAGCTGGGCGAGGCAGGGCGGCAGGAGCCTGCGGATTCAGCGGCGGGAGGGCGGGCGGGGCCGCAGGAGGCTCTACCTTCCGCAGACCCTCACCCCTAGGCCTACAAACAGCTGTGAAGCCAACGCCGGGCGCCGTGGTTGCCGAGGAGGAGAGGCTTCCCCTCGCTTCAGCCAATCCCAGGCCTCGCTTCCGGTGACATCACGTCTCCTAGCAACCGCGGGTGGGTGGGCGGAGCCGGAAGTAGGGAAGCCGGGCGCCCCAGATACGGGCCTGTGAGAAAAGCGTTTCTGTAGCTCGCGCTCACTGAGAAGCACACAGATTAAAGCACATAGGCATCGCGCGTGTACCTGGAACATACTAATTATAAATTTCCCGCGAAACATCCACGTTTTTAGTCCCCCTCCCATACTGAAAACTAAGAACATATTTGAAGACTGATTTATTGATTATGGCCCCTGTTCCATGCATTTCATGATACCGCCAACATAAAGTTATAGGAGAAGGGGCAAATCTAGTGCGTTGTCTAGATTGTCCTTTATGACAGAGGTAAAGCAGAAATGGAATTCAGACCAACACAAAAACTACACTTCTAATGAAGATTTACAGGCAAAATACCATAAAATAGGCAGATTGGTAGAATTAATAATGGGCAATCATGGTCTTAAGGGAAGTGCCGTTTATCCACTTAGTCCATTTCTAATTGGGGTTCCTTTCCCAACTGAGATGTTTTTAAAGGCAAAAAGGCTTAAAATCTCCTTTCTCTTTCCACCAGTGTCTTACCTTCTAGTCCTATGTTGCTTCTGTTCGCTATCTTTTAAATGTTTTTCCTCTACCACTATTGCTTTCTCTTGCATGAAACCTTATTTTCTTAGGCATCTCACACTTCTCTTCCCTAACCCCCTACTCTTGTTGAGGAAGTAGAAGGGAACAAAAAAATGCTTGTATAACAGGATGCTTGCCCAGTTTTGAAAATTTTACACTACATTTTCCCCATCTTAGACCTGGCCAGTTAAGTTAAGCTCAATAGGGGAACGATAAAACTACTTGCACTCTTACAGTAAGAATATGTTTGATAAAGGTTAGAAAAACAGTATCTAGGAAGTAAATCTTAAGAAATCCTTTTATTAGTATACAGCTTAAAACAATTTTTAAATACTCATAAACGAATGCAAGAATATCTTGCTTTAAAATGTATATGCTTGGGGCACCTGGGTGGCTCAGTTGGTTAAGCATCCGACTTCGGCTCAGGTCATGATCTCACAGTTCATGGGTTCAAGCCCCATGTCAAGCTCTGTGCTGACAGCCCAGAGCCTGGAGCCTGCTTCAGATTCTGTGTCTCCCTCTCCCTCTCTCTCTCTCTGCCCCTCCCCACTCTCACTCTGTCTCTCAAAAATAAACATTAAAAACAAAATATTTTAAAAAGTAATAATAAAATAAAATGTATATGCTTGAATTCGTCACATTTTAATTTCATCACGAGGCTTACCTTTGAAAGGTACGAGAGCAGGGATGTCTTCATCTGCTAGGGCTGTTATAACAAAATACCATAGACAGACATTTATTTTGTAAAATGAAATAAAATAATGTTGTCATTTATTTTGTAAAACTAGAAAGACCTAAAACCACAGATGAAAAAATTAACTCAAAATGGATCATGCCTAAATGTAAGAGCTAAAACTATAAAACTCTTCTAAGAAAAAATAGGGGTAAATTTTGATGACCTTTGGTTAGCCAATGGCTCCTGAGATACAACACCGTAAGCGTGTGACAAAAGAAAAAATAGATAAATTGGACTACATAGAAATTTGAAACTTTTGTGTCACAGACTATCCCAAGAAAACAGAAAGACAACCAAGGGAATGGGAGAAAATATTTGCAAATCATATACCTGATACAGGACTTATATCCAGAATATGGAAAGAATTCTTACAACTCAACATTTTTTTTTTTTTAAATGAGCAAAGGATTTGGAACAGACATTTCTCCAAAGAAGATGTACAAATGGCGGTAAGTACACGGAAAGAGGCTTAACATCATTAGCCATTAGGAAAATGCAAATCAAAACTAAAAAGAGACACTGCCTTACACACAGTAGGATGGCGATAATCAAATAGATACTAAAGAGTGTGAGTGAAGATATGAAGAAATTAGAACTTGCCTGCATTGCTGGTGGGAATGCAAACTGATGAAGCCCTTTGGGAACACTTTGACAGTTCCTCAAAAAACTACAGAGTTACTACATGACACAATTTTACTCCTATGTATGTATACCAGAAAAATGAAAAAAGTTTTGCTGCACAAAAACTTGTACCCAAATGCTCATGGCAGTATTATTCACAATAACCCAAAAGTTAGAAACAACCCAAATGTCCATCAACTGATGGATGAATAAACCAAATGCGATATATCCATACAATGGAATATTATTCAGCAATAAAACAAAATGAAATATTGATACATGCTATAACATGAACGAACCTTGAAAACATTATGCCAAGTGAAAGATGCCAGTCACAAAAGAACACATATTGTACGATTCCATTTAAATGAAATGTCCAGAACAGGCAAACTTACAAAGACAAAAAGTAGGTTAGTGGTTACTTACAACTGGATGTCGGGGAGGTTGGGGATTGACAATTAGTAGGTACAGAATTTTTTTTAGGGGGTATGGACATGTTTTAAAATTAGATTGTGGTTGATTAACTCTGTGGATGTACTAAAAAATATTGATCTGTATACTTTAAATGGGTAAATTATGTCTCAATAAAGCTACTTAAAAAGAAAAACAACCCCACGGATGCAATGAGCTCAGTAAATCCCACAAAGGATAAATGAAAAAACAAAAAACAACAACAACAAAAAAGCAAATCATACCTTAGTATATCATAGGCAAACTGTAGAAAAGCTTGTGGGACATAGTGAAGGTAATGACTTTAAAGACCATTTGAAGCCTTAAATGTCTTAGGAAGACAGAAAATTCATGAGTTAAATGTTCAACATGAGGGGGTACATAAATTACCACAAAATAAACCCAGCATGAGGGTCTCAAGGACACCTAATTGTTTTCAACATGGCACTTATGCAATCTGAGTGGGGTGCATATTAGCTCATATACAAAAAAAGTTTTTTGTTTTTTGTTTTTTTTAATTTCATTAGTTTGCAGGTTCTGGTGTTGACAAGGTTCAAGATGTGACCATCATGGCATGTGGCTGAAATGTCTTAAAATAATATGCCATTGGCAGTGAGGAAAGCAGAGAAATCTAGAGAAACAGCTAGATTTATGTGATTTATGTGATGATCTTGTTGTACATGAACTTGAACATCATAACAATCCCTGCTTTCCAAGAGGGGGTGTGTGTGTGAAAGAGCACTGGTGATTTCATAGACCAGTAGGACTCAAAGAGGTTTAAATAAGCCATCTAGTAGTCTATCCCTCACTTTTGGGTAAGATCAGACTTAACCTTACCAACAGAATTAATATAATACCTATTATAGTAAAAACCCAAACCTCTCTTAAAATTGCCATTTAGCAGTTAGACCTATTCATCCTATGATTTAGAAATGTCTGGCTCTCATTAAATCTTGACATTTTCTCTTTGCCCCCCTCTAACCATTTCTTAAATATAGGACTTGAGTTCTAAGATATCACTGCTCTTTATTTAAAAAAAATTTTTTTAACGTTTATCTATTTTTGAGACAGAGAGAGACAGAGCATGAACAGGGGAGGGTCAGGGAGAGAGGGAGACAGAGAATCTGAAACAGGCTCCAGGCTCTGAGTTGTCAGCACAGAGCCCAACGTGGGGCTTTAACTCACAGACCATGAGATCATGACCTGAACCGAAGTCGGACACTTAACCAGCTGAGCCACCCAGGCGCCCCAATATCATTGCTCTTTAATGGAACATTATCTTCACTCAGTAATTTGTTTATCCAAATAACACCCACAAACTTATATTGAAAATGATAAAAGTTCGAGATGCTTGGGGGAAGCACCCCCTTGGAAAATAATTCCTTTTTAATTACAGTATTGAATTTTAGTCATTTGGAAGTTCCTCATGAATAAATACAGAGTTTCTTCATATTGTAAATAATAAATTTACTTGTAACATGTTGACACATGGTTTTCATTTCTCTGAATAATGTACTATTTATTTTTAAAATTTTTTAAAAATTTATTTATTTTTGAGAAACACAGTGAGACAAAGCATGAGTGGGGGAGGGACAAAGAGAGAAGGAGACACAGAATCTGAAGCGGGCTCCAGGCTCTGAGCAAGTGGTCAGCACAGAGCCTGATGCGGGGCTCAAACCCACGAACCATGAGATCATGACCTAAGCCAAAGTCGGATGGTCAACCGACTGAGCCATCCAGGCGCCCCACTATTTACTTTAATAATCTCACAGTATATAAAGCACGGATTCTAGATCCATACTGATTAAATTTGAATCTTGGTTCTACCACGTGGATCTCCTGTTGGGTGATACCTTTGTTTCACAGTTTCCTCATCTGTAAAATTAAGATAAGATTGGGGCGCCTGGGTGGCGCAGTTGGTTAAGCGTCCGACTTCAGCCAGGTCACGATCTCGCGGTCCGTGAGTTCGAGCCCCGCGTCGGGCTCTGGGCTGGTGGCTCGGAGCCTGGAGCCTGTTTCCGATTCTGTGTCTCCCTCTCTCTCTGCCCCTCGCCCGTTCATGCTCTGTCTCTCTCTGTCCCAAAAATAAATAAACGTTGAAAAAAAAAAAAAAAGATAAGATAATACTACTACCAAAATCATAAGGTGGTTTTTGTGGGAACTCAGTGAGGTCATTAGTGCCTAGAATAGTGACTGCTACTCAAATGTTACTATCATTTTATGGGAAGTCTCCATCTACCTAGTATTAAAGATTCCTAGATAAATCTTTAAATGTTTAAATGTTATTTTTAAATCATTTGTTATTAAACTTAGGTGGTGATTGCCCACTTCACTGGAAAATTATGCAATAGTGGCTTGCCCAA